ACTTAGCAATAACTAAAACATCAGTGTGTTATCAACATTCTACTCGTACTAAATCCAAAACACAGCACTATGCTAGCTACTAGGAAGAAAATTAACTCTATGCCAGCTGAAACCGGGACAAACAGCTTCGTTGATGATCTGGGTGTTGGGGCAGAGTGTACCATCAGCAAGTTTAACGATGACTGGGAGGGGTGCTTGATACACCAGAGAGTCATGCTGCCCTCCAGAGGGACCGAAACGGGCTGGAGAAACGGGCTGACAGAAACCTCATGAAGTTCAACAAGGAGAAATGCAATGTCCCACACATGTGGGGGTACAACTCTATACACTAGTACATGCTGGAGGAAAGCAGCTTTGCAGAAAAGGCCCTGGGGCTCCTGGTGATCAGAGTTGAACATGGGCTAGCAATGTGCCCTTGTGGCAAAGGTGGCTAATTGGATCCTGGGCTGCATTAGGAGGAGTGCTGCCAGCAGGTTGAGGGAGGTGATCCTTGCCCTCTCCTCAGCACTAGTGAGGCTACACCTGGAATGCTGTGTCCAGTTCTGGGCTCCCCAGTACAAGAGAGACCTGGACATACTGGAGAGAGTCCAATGAAGGGCCATGAACATGATGAAGGGACTGGAGCATCTCTCCTGTGAGGAGAGGCTGAGAGAGCTGCGACAGTTCAGCCTGGAGAAGAGAAGTCTGAGGGTGATCCTGTCAATGTATACAGATACTTGAAGGGAGGATGCAAAGACAGTCCCAGGCTCTTTCCGGTGGTGCTTAGTGACAACCAGAGGCGATAGGCACAAACTGAAACACAGGAGGTTCCCTGTGAACATCAGGAAAGACTTCTTTACTGTGAGGGTGACTGAGCACAGGTTGCCCAGGGCCACTGTGGGGTCTCCATCCCTAGATACAGGCAAAGCCACCCAAACATGGTCCTGGGCAGCCAGCTTTGGGTGGCCCTGCGTGAGCAGGAGGGTTGGACCAGATGATCTCAAGAGGTCCCTTCCAACCTCAGTCATTCTGTGATTCTATCTTGCATTCAAAACGATACTGACTATATGATCAAATATCCTGGAAAAAGTAAAGCTGAAATGCTTTAAATAGCTTGCATTGCAAGCACTTCAGCTCTATTTGATTGACCTAGAATACTCTTAATTAAAAATTTGAAGTTATAAAGTTTCTGATTCTACACTTTGCTTTTCCACATTAAGAAAAAGTATATCTGAGGGTTGAAGCTAGGGTGTGTGAAGTGCTGTGGGTTAGGATTGAGAAGATACCTTTCAGTGTTTGCTGTCTTCTGCTTAAAATGGATCATGTCAAAACAGCTCTGACCATAAACTGTGAAGAGATGATTTGGGGATCGATGACTTTGATATCAGGGGTGGTGAAATTCTCGATTTAGAATTATCTGTTTTATGCCTGGGCTGTTATACAGTTGCCCAGAAAATAATGCCTGGGCAAAACTTCCCTAGGGAAAACTGGGACACCCAGGGCCTGCAATGAAAACACCAGCTTTGAGAAGCATGTAAGGATTATTGTTATACATATAATTGTTATTACAAAGTAGTTTAATTCTTGTTACAGTAATAATTTGTTATTTTCAAGTGACATTAGCTCTAGGATAACATTTTCATTTCTGTTTCATTGGTTAATAGATTCGGGTCCACCAAGGAAACTTCTTAACAAAGGAGATGAGGAGGGAAAGCCTAAATCCATTTCCAAGAAATTTGTGAAAGGGCAGTTAAGACCTGGAAGAGCTAGTGGCAAACAATTCAAGAATAAACAGCAGTCAGAAAAGCTTGCAAAGAAGAGGAAGCTCCAGGATGGTGAAGAGGGAGGTGAGCAGACTTTTAAGCCTGGATATCAACGAAACTAGGGTTTTGGGAAACACATTGTTCATCTAGGTCTCCCTCTTTCCCCCTGCCTTGTTATCACCTTTCCAAATTGGCTGTCTCCAAGCTTACTTCATGTTTAATCTTTGCTATGGAAAAATTTACTTCACCTGACTAAGCTTGAGGCCAAAGTGATGAGAATCGACAGTTACAAATTTTCTTGGAAGTCAGAAGCAAAGATGCAGTAACAAATTTAAATAATTGGTATGCCATCATAAAGCCATGATTATTTTAATGACACTTAAGTGGCTAGTTGGATTGTTTTCACACAAATTTGGAAAATGGAGAGTCTTTCATAGGCCATTTTAGAAATTTAATCCTCTGTTCTAAAAGTACTGACTATAAAATTTGGAATACAAAATTCATGAAACAAAGTTGATTATCCTTTATATTATTTTTTTCTGTGGTCCAAACTATCTAGACACCTCTTTTATTTTTTTTTCTTGCAAAAAAGACATCATCAGTGTTATCACTGCCTTTTACATTTTACAGCATATTTTTGTGTTTATACAGGGAGGCTAAATAATTGTCTGGTTTTATCACTGTTTAAATGGATTTCTTTTTTAACTTTGTTTCTGGTGCATGAGAACTTCATGTGGTTCCTTCTGCTGTGAAGCAAAGCTCTACTATGATAATTAAACAGCACTGTAAAATGAGAAGTGGAGTCTTATGTGAGGGATTCTGAAGTTCTGCAGAAAAATGTTAGTTGTTTGGAGGACAGTAGAAGGTGTTGAGTGTATTGTTGTTGCGTGTTTGCAGAATGGCTTCACATAGAGTATACACTAGTTGTTAGGAAATTTAGTAGTAACAGAATGCTCATATTAAGCTGCTTTAAAAAAAACCCAAAACACAATTACAAACAAATCTTTAGATGTTGTTTATAAGAATAACTGAAAGCTGCTGTGTGTTGCATGGTGGCACTGCTCTCAAAGCAAAGTGTTACTGTTTTTGTTTGTCACTATTACTTTAGGACAGTGATAGAAAAAATTGATAATGCACTTTGTAAAAAGAGAGCATGGTTTTTGGATGGGTAAGACAGTTAAGTGCATGCTGCTAAATACCAGCAAGTTGTGCTTTAAGGTCTAAAAATTTAAAGCTGGGTCTTTAATATTCCATATAGAAGTAATAGTTAGCATGACTTGCTTCTGTGAAACCATGTAATATAAGATGATGGGTTTTGTCAAGGTATGAATAAAACTAAAATCAAATACTTGAAGTTTTTCCATAACTCATTTGTGGCACTTTCTATAGTTACCTTAACTTAAGTTTATTGTGTGGCAGTATATCACTGTTGTATAGGAAAATCCCATGCTTAAGGAATTTGACTGAATAAAAAGATTAAGCATGTAAAAATACTTCAGTTTTTTTCCTTTCTCTGAGATTTCAGATATGTATCTTTGAATTAGGCCTTTTCTTTTGAGAGAGGGGAAAACGTATGTATGAGTACAGGTTGAACTAAAAAGGGAGAATTACCTGGGGCAGTCATAGGCTGCTGATACATTTTGAGTCAATTTTCAAGCTATTAAGAGGTTTGCGATGGATCTTTTGAAATTAACTCTATCCCATCCAAAAGCAGCACACAGAGCTTTGAGGAAAAATCAGTTTGCCTTGTTCTTCCAGTATTCTAGAAGTGGGAATTACTAGCTTAGCATACTTATTAAATATTTACACTTTCATATTAGCTAGCTGCCTAACTGCAGGTAAAGCTTCTGAATTGTTAGCAATTCAAGTCACAGAGCTGCCACAGTTTATGCTGATAAAGGATTCCATTGCTCCTCTTTTACTGACTATAGAAACTACATTTATTTTTGTCTTCAGGGTCAGATTCTAAGAAGCCAAAGTGGAGTGACTTCAAAAAGAAAAGGAAGGAGTTAAAGCAAAACAGACAACTTAATGATAAAAGTAATTATGACATAATTGTAAAATCAAAGCAAATATGGGAAAATGTGAGAAGGTAATAGTGATTTTTTTTTTTCTTTCATTCAGTTGGCTTTCAGTTGCAAATTGGAAGAAGACTCTCTTTCTTCTCCTGTAATTATCTGAAGCTATATTTTCACAGTGTAACTCCATGGGTGAATGATAACATTACATGCAATTCTGTGGATGGTTCAAGCAGAGTGTGGTGACGCGCAGTGCTAGAAATGTCTCGCTTGTATTTTAGGCTAAAATTTGTGAGTAAATACTTCAGGAGTTGTCTTATTTTTTGAATCCTGAAGCACAGAACATAGAATCGTTTAGGTTGGAAAAGACCTTTAAGATCATCCAGTCCAACCATTAACCTAACATTACCAAGTCCACACTAAACCAGTTAAGGGTAGATTAGACTAAACCATGTCCCAAAGTGCCACATCTACCCGTTTGTTGAATGCTTCCAAGGATGGTGACTCCACCACCTCTCTGGGCAGCCTGTTCCAATGCTTAACTACCCTTTCCAAGAAGAAATTTTTCCTAATAGCCAATCTAAACGTCCCCTGGCACAGCTTGAGCCCATTTTGTCTTGTCCTATCGCTAACTACATGGGAGAAGAGACCAACACCCACCTCACTACAACCTCCTTTCAGGTAGTTGCAGAGAGCAATAAGGTCCCCCCTCAGCCTCCTCTTCTCCAGGCTAAATAACCCCAGTTCCCTCAGCCGCTCCTCATAAGACCTGTGCTCCAGACCCTTCACCAGCTTCATTGCCCTTCTCTGGACATGCTCCAGCACCTCAATGTCTTTCTTGTAGTGAGGGGCCAAAATTGGACACAGTACTCAAGGTGCAGCCTCTCCAGCGCCGAGTACAGGGGCACGATCACCTCCCTGCTCCTGCTGGCCACACTATTTCTCATACAAGCCAGGATGCTGTTGGCCTTCTTGGTCCCCTGGGCACACTGCTGGCTCGTGTTCAGCCAGCTGTCAACCAACACCCCCAGGTGCTTTTTGGCCAGGCAGCTTTCCAGCTTCCCTAAGCCTGTAGTGTTGCATGGGGTTGTTGTGACCCACGTGCAGGACCCGGCACTTGGCCTTGTTAAACCTCATCCAGTTGGCGTCAGCCCATGGGTCCAGCCTGTCCAGGTCCCTCTGCAGGGCCATCCTACCCTCGAGCAGATTGACACTCCCACCCAACTTGGTGTCATCTGCAAACTTACTGAGGGTGAAACATGTACTAGTTCAGCCTGATCTTGCAGTGGGATTACTGCATGAGTTTTTTGTGGAGGTTTGTATACTCTGTCTGGGCAGATGTAATTCTAGAACTGGGGCCCCACATCAGAAGGAGTTAATTTTACTTGCTCTAAGTGTCTGTGCTTTGCAGTTTTGGCTGTGAGATGCTTACAAATCTTTGGATCTGTAAACAACTCTGGCTGCAGGTTTGAGTTTATGTTCTTTTTAATAATATTGTTACTCAGAAAAGAATAATTTTTAAGTGCAGAAATCTGGTTTGGTTTCTAGGAACTGAAACTGTTTAATTACATCTATCTACAGGTTTAATGAATGACAATGTAAATTTGGATTAGCAGGAGCTAACTTAATTCTATTTTGCACTGTCTTGCTTCTTAGTTTATAGATATAAGTGAATCATACTACAAAAAAGCTGCTACCTCAGTTAAGATTGTTTTACTTTTTTTTCCTTGTAGGAAGAAATGTGATAAGGAAAAGCGAGAAAAGCTAATGAATGAACTACAGAAGCTTCTTCAAGGAAAAATTAAAAGTGTAAGAAAAATGAATGCCATAGTGCACAAATTCACAAAAGCTTCTTTAAAGAATGGTGAAATACAAATGAACTTTTAATAACGTAGTACTAACCTGTTCATCCAAAAGCTAGTTTTTTTAAACTGAGTAAAAAAGAACAAAAAAAGAGTTGAAAAGCTGCATTTGGCACTTGGATTTCAGGACAGTAGTCCTGGGATGCTTTGTCTATTAGCTGGCTATTATAAGGCTGTCTATTTTGCTAAGCAGCTTTAGTCCAGTGAAATTCGTTGTTAACTGAAGTTCAAAACCATCCAGTCAGAGTTTTGATTAATTACTATTGTTGCTTTGCAACTTTCTTTTAGAGAAGTTAATGTCCTGATACTACACTACTGCAGTCTTTCCGGTTAACTCTTGAAATGTGTAAATATGCAGTGAAATACCTGTTGGATTTTAAAGTGATTCTTGGTATTCCATGCCTAAGTGGAACTGTATCATCACACTCACTCTGAAATTACAAAGAACAGAGAAAACAAGATACCATTTCATGCTTCTCTTCCAGTATTAAAACCTTGATGCATGTCCTTAATTGTCAGCAAGTATTGTCTATATTTTGTTCGACAGAGTACTTATAAAGCAGTAAAAAACCTTGAAACTTAAACGGGTAACTACTTTTATAACTGGCATTGCATGCTACATGTAGCATAAAACTATATCAGAGAGCAAGTGCATTAAAATAAATTTGGTGCATGATGCCGTTTGAATGGCCTTAGGATAATGAAATCTCTGTCCTGTAGCTGGCATTTGCACATGATTCAACTCGAGTGATCCAGTGCTTTATTCAGTATGGCAATGAGAAGCAAAGGCAAGAGACATTTGAAGAATTGAAAGGTAATTTCTTCCCATTTACATTTTACCTATATGCTTCTGTATTGTTTTCAGGATGTATTAAAATGAGCCATATTATTTTCTCGTGAATATTTTTAAATTTCTGCTGAAATGATGCATCGTTCCTAGTGAGGTCTTAAAACTTACTTAAATAATGGCATCTTGTTTTGTAGAGTTAATGTAGTCAAACCAGCTGAATATTTTTCCCTTCTTCTAGATAGCCTAGTAGAGTTGAGCAAGTCAAAATATTCCAGAAATATTGTGAAGAAGTTTCTTATGTATGGGTGAGTATGAAGTAAATTTCCTTTGCTGTGTTGCATTGTTTCATTTCCAGTGTGAATGCTGCTCTTAATCTATAGTGCATCGATCATGAATAAAAAATATGTCTCTGAAAACATCTTTATAATAGTGACAAGACAGGAGAGCGTCTGATATTGCTAACAGCAGTTTTCCTATTGCAAAAAGTAAAGCTAAAGCTGTACACATCAAGGAAAACATACATCAAAAAAAGGTCAAATACATGCTCAAAGCTGATCTCTGCGTAATACAAAAAAATTTGCTTTAAAAAATTTTCTCTGCTTAGTGTTTCAGGAAGGCATCCTTCATTCTGTCGAATTTATGCACTGGTTTCTCTCCCTCAAAATGTGTTATGATTTACCCAGATTCCTGGTTTTCTTGCCATATTTTCATAAATGCCATAAGGCTGATCCAGACTCATATATTTCTTGGTTTCTATGCTAAAGGTTATCACCTAAATGTGCTTCCAAAAATAAAACTATTGATAGGTCAGCTTATCCCTAAAGTTTTAATTCTTGCTATCTATCTTTCCCTGTGAAACAGGACAAAACCACAAGTTGCAGAAATAATAAAAAGTTTTAAAGGCCATGTGAAAAAAATGCTCCGTCATGCCGAAGCATCTGCTGTAGTGGAATACGCATATAATGACAAAGCCATTCTGGAGCAGAGGAATATGCTGACAGAAGAACTATATGGGAACACTTTCCAGGTTTACAAGGTGACCTTTCAATACTTTCTAGTCTAAGGTGTTTTAACATCTAAGGTACTATGTTAGTAATACCTTACCTATTTACCTGCTATTTCTTTTGGTTAAATTTCTTTCTGTCAGCTGTCCAAATGTAGTCTAGTTTAGCATGTTTAAATGTTATTATTACTTGCACATTTCTATTCTAGATTAAGTTGTTGTGTTTTTTCAGTTTGTACTATGTAAAATATATTGTGTTCATGTATGAGCTTGCTCTGCTCATCAAAGACAGTCTAATAGCATATAGTTGCAGTTATTTTAGTGTCATAGTGTCTAGCCTGAAGTGGTCATGCTTGCTGAGATAAGATTTACACTTAATTCCCCATTAATGCTGTAGATGGCTTTTGTGTCAGAACTGCCTTATGTCTCGTGAGAACTGAGTGTGGGCGGAATGTGCCTGTATCTATATACAGTATGCCATTTAGGCTTAATTTTTGGCTTTGTTTTCTTTTCCCATGGATACTATAGGACTTCAATCCAAACTCTTGAAACCATTTAGATGTAGAACCTAACCAGGCAGTGGGAACCTTTTTAAAAAGTACAATCTCCTTTCTTCTGACTTCTGTTTTTCCTTCTTTCTTGCTGACTTGGAAAGTCAGTTTCTGTTAGAGGCACAAATAGTTTTATTTGGTCCAAAGTACAAAACAGTTTTATGCCATTATTAACTACACTAGAGTGACTTTTGCATCCCGGTGTACAAAACAGCATGCTTTTACCCAAGTTTTCTGTTAAAATTGTCTGGGAAATTAACAGTTCATTTCTGAACTGTATTGCTATTTTTTCTTTACAGGTTATTTTAAGTTTTAGTAAGGCATTTTGCAACACTAATAGAAAGGCGTGTTAGCTGTGTTTGTGGGCTGTAATCTGTACTGGGAGTAGAACAGCCTCTGAAATCACGTGCACTGTTAGCTTCCATCATTCCAGCATTCTTGGCATGAATGCTTCAAGTATTCAGCTAGAAACTGTGATGTAATCCTTAACAAGACCTGGAATTTCTTGGAGTTTTGAAATGTGTGGTTCATTTTTACCCCTCCTGCCTCCAACGCTCCCCCCTGCCACACACCCTACCCCACCCCCAGCAGGGATGATTAGAAATTGATTTCTTCTAATTTTCTATCTAGTCAGACTGTTCTGCTAACAACAGATTCTTTTACAAGAGTTACCAGTGTAATTGTTTAGAAGAGATACCAGGAAGTACTTCTATATTTGAGGTATATGGTATATATTCTTCCTTTCTGTTATTTTTGAACTGGAATTTCCTCCTTGGTTAACTTTTTAGTTCATCGACTTGTTGCTGTGTTGCCCCCTGATGCATGCATGCTGTCATGCAGGATTTCTGCTTAGCTCAGGAGTCCCTTAACACAATGCCAGTCTCGTGTATTTTACCTCGTATCTGACAGTCTCATGAAGAGTTGAAAAACAAAAGGCAAAAACCAGTTCAGACCATAGAAGTAGCTTTTGTTTGCTAATGATGAGTATTCAGTTTGTAGAAACTTAAAATATACAGCTTCTGACATACTCAAAGTAGATAAACTTTTTATTTTTAAAATTGTAAAAACTGTTAGTTTTGCAGAAAGTTCATTTTGTCTGTGATATTGTTCATAAATTTTGATTGAAAAGAGACTAAAGATTATAATTGTCTGTGCACTCTGATGCTTACTGGGAATTATTAAATCTCTGATTGTATGTTCATTTCAGACACCAGTTGTCCCAACTCTGGATAAAGTGTTAGAAGCTCAGCCTGAAAAGAGAGAGGCCATCTTGGATGAAATGAAACAGATTCTTACACCAATGGCACAAAAGTAAGGACGAAAATTGATTTAAGGTGTGACAATCTAGCATGAACCGGTTTGTTTCTGATGTACAAAACAGTGATATTGATACTCTTTTAAGCTCATGTGACAGTGATACTGATACTTTTAAGCTGTAACATTGCTGTGTTGTATAGTAAGTAACTATGGTTTTTGTCCAAAGTGTCATAATGAATATCTTAATTTTGAACTCCACTCCTATAAACTAAAGTGTCCCCTGCCCCAGTCAGACAGTCAGTAGAAATCCCACAGTGTGGTGTGCTTCCATAATGCATTATTGGATAAGCTTCTCCAGTAGTCTTTAGGAGAAAATATTTTATTATGTTTTAGAATTTTCTGCATCCTGTAAATGCTAAGCATCTAATCCAGAATGACTATGTGTTTTCTGCACACCACACTGCCTACCTTTTTCTTTCTTAAATACAAATGAAGTATTGCTACCTTATGTTAAAACCATTACTTGTGGCTTTTTGCTTATTTTCTTCTTCCCAAATACAGAGAAGCTGTGATAAAGCACTCACTGGTACATAAAGTATTTTTGGACTTTTTCACTTATGCTCTTCCGAAACAAAGATCTGTAAGTATGTTTTGGTTTTGTCGTCTTTTGCTTTTCAGTGGATTGTTTTTAATCTTCTTGTGAAAGTATTGTAAGGTAACTAGACAGAAAACCCACATCTTGCATTTATAGAGTTTCAAACGTCTGGCGATTTCAAGTAGATGATCGAGGAGTACTGTTGTATGGAGATTTACAGTCACAGTGAACTTTCACACTTAAGCAATAGTGTTTGTGATACTTGAATTAAAAAAAAAATCTGATGGAATGATTTTGATGTTTTCTCTCTCCATGCTAAATGGTCCTTCTCAGTAGCTGGAGAATTAAAGCCAGGGACATTGCTTCCAGTAGTTTAGCTTTCCAGCATGTAGTTTCTTAACCACTTCTATCCTTTGTCCAAGAAACTCTTGAACAAAATACACTTCTGGTAGCAGCCAAAACTTCATCTTCTGCCTCAGCCTGAGCCAAGCATATGGCTTTTATCACTATGTCTGTATTAAATTCCAGTTTTAAGGTTCCCCCAGCCATTCTTGCAAAAATTAGGCCTAAATCCATCCAATGCAACATTGTATAAGCTGGTATCCTGCTTGACTTCACCTGTTCTTCAATCTGTGTCCATCAGCCTTGCCCTGGTTCTGCAGCTGGCACTGTCTCACTCCAGGCTGGGTGGAGCCTTCCAGACTTGCTGTCTCTTACCTACTTCTGCTGGACTGGACTCCTGAACTCTTCTTTGATACTATTAGCAAACCCAAGGCTAAGGGTAGTGAGGTGGACTATTTGTGGCCTATTCTGAGTCCAAATCTTACCTAATTAAAGGTTCCTGTGCCTGGTTTCATGTGATGCTTTGTCAGACAATGCTTCTGGATTCAGAGTCTTGTGTGAATCAGGGGAGTAAAGGCGTATCTCCTTCTTGCTTGGCTTTCTGTGCAGACAGGGTAACGTATGGATATTCTCCTTGGGGTTTGGAAACCCCTTTTGTAGATCTGTTCCTGCTTGTGCATGTAGCTAGTGACACCAATCATGTTGTGACTGAGCAGTTTGTAATTAAATGGTAAAATGCTTGAAACCTTTCACTAGGGAGTGAGAAGAAGCTAGGCATAGAAAGGGAGATAGGTGGGAGCTTCATGTCAAAGAAATCTATCAGATAATAACAGAAGTAGTATCCAGTAACCCAGGAGGAGGGGGTTTTTTTTCTTTGGTTTGGTTTTTCTTTTTTGGTTGATGGCTTCAGAACCTCATTACTTTGATATGAAGACTAATTCTTCATTTATAACATCACCTGTTTTATAACTGATTTATAACATCACCTGGTGCTTAAGTGACCTTTTAGTTCTTCTTGCTTTCTGGCTAATACCCTGTATGTGTAAATAAATTGCATCACCTTCAAAGATTTTCTTCCTAAATGAATGGTTATCTTTTTCTCCTCTAATTTTAGTCTAAGTTCTGAGCACCCTTCCTTGAATTGTCTGTAGTAGGACAACTGACAAGCTTCAATACAGTTCTGATTTCATAGGATGAATATGATGAACAGTGTAGTTTTGGAGGGAGAAAGCTTATGTCATTCACAGTCTTTTGGACTCCTTTTGAGGCCTTTTTTTCATAGGTCAAGGCAATGGGAGTGGTTCTGTAGAGCCAGTGATGCTCTCTTCAACATTGCAGGCAGACAAAAAATGCTTTCATGCCCTCACCCACCTGCCTTGATATTTCTCAGGCCTTTTCTTTCACCTATTTGCTTTATCACATTTTCTTCCTCAGGAAATGATAGAAGCGATCAGAGAGGCTGTCATCTACCTGGCACACACTCATGATGGAGCCCGAGTAGCAATGCACTGCTTATGGCATGGTACTCCCAAGGTATTGTTTGGTTTCTGTCTGCCCACTCCTCTTTAATAATAGCCTGAGAGTGTGAGTATGATTGCTTACATGGGTCGTTCTGCCAGTGTGCATTTTGATGCAGTTAAGTATTTGAGAGCGAGGTTAAAAGGTGGCCCTTTACCTGTTGGCAAATATAAGCAGTAGTTTTTCATGAATCAGATGCTTTCATTAGAACCTTTATAGTGGAAGCATCTCCATTTATTTTAGCAGAGTTCTTGCAGATGACACATAGAGCTTTTCCATTTTATTATTGGCCATTCATTCATCCCATAGATTTCTTAATGCAGGGGAAAAAGGCAGTAGGGAGAGGACAGTAAAGAAGTCATAATGTAGATTGATGTTTGGCTTTGGAATGCCAAGACTTAGAAGATGTTATAGGTACTGTGTTTTAGTTTCTTCTGCTGATACAGTATCCTGAAATACTTTAGGTGTAACGTATGCCATCGTCTCTTAGAAATACTGTAATGCCTCCTATGTTTTTTTGTATTTTAAAAAAAAAGATGACTTATGAAAATAGTCAGCTTCTTAAAGAGTGCTGAAAAAAATATGAAGTTGCTAGGATCTAGGCGTGGTAATGGGTCTAAAGAAGACTGGGCCGTGATTGCAAGAGGCAAAAATACAAGCACTGAGGAAACTGGCAAAAAAATCTTGCTAGTAAAGGGGTTTTGCAGCAGGCTAGAGTCCTTGCTACTTTAAAGTTTCAGGTCTTGTTGAATAAGTTTCTTTCCAAGTAACAAGTTGAAGTGCATTCTTCTGTAAGTAGTGAACAAGATACAGGTGAATATATGTGGTGGTTTGGGGTTTTTGTGGGTTGGTTTGTTCGGTTTTTTTGTTTGCCCCACCCCCCCACCCCAAGTTGCCCTTTTTGGCATCTACCATTGCTGGGCTGGGCTTGTAAACATATCACAGAACCTCCCTGGGACTGAGTCTTTCACAGTTCAGGTTTAACTCTTTACACTGTTTCTAGGTATTGACTAATAGTACAAATGTGAGACTTTGGTAAATAGCCTTTGCTTTCGTAAGCAGATTGAAGGCTATCTTTTTGAAGGTGTAAATAACAATTTACTTATTCAGAATCACTGGCATTATAGGCTCATTCAAGTTTCTTGTTTCCTTTTGGATAGGACAGAAAAGTCATTGTGAAAACTATGAAGACATATATTGAAAAAATAGCAACAGTGAGTATTCGTTACCATTTATTTCATAGTCTGAAACACAAGTGATCTGATAGAGACTAATTGGAATGTGCTTTGGTACTGGAAACAACTATGAGATCTTAATAAAAGTAGGTTTAAAATAGTGGTGATGTACTAGATAATATGAAATATATTGAACTTTACGGACTATTTAGAGACATACTGAGAAGCTTCATTGTGGGCCCTACATGTAGTAGTATCCTTTTTTAAAGTAGCTGAGTTAATAAGTCCTAATTTTTTTTTTCTTTCTTTGAGCCCAACTTTATATTGCATCTTCAGATGGCTTGTTGGTTAATTCTCCTTGGCTGGGAATAAAATAACATGTATACAGAAGTGGAACAAAAATTAAGATGTGTTGGGGATGTCATTGGAAAGGCCATTTGAATGTGCATATTTCTTACAAGATGTTCAATAAGTTTTTAAGACGGGAAGCTTCAAAATGAATTAATGCTGAAGTAACATACAATGGAAGAAGTCTGTATTTAATTTTTTTCTGAGTAACATGTACGTTTGGAGGCTGCAGCATCAATGGAATAACAGCTACAACCAGATTTCATAGTGCCGGGCAAAACTGCAACTGTGAAGAAAAGCTTTTAAAACTTTTTCCCTTCCTGGTTGCTGTATTGTTCTGTTTACTAAAAGCTGACATGCTCTCAATCAGTGGTCTCCAAACTTTCTTGATCACACAACCCTGAGCATGCATCACCAATATATGTATATTTATGTGTAAATTATGTACATGTACTACTGTACTAGTATACATTATAAAACATACACAGAAATAGAAATTTTAAAAGGATGAGGTAAAGATAACCAGTGGTAATTTTTATATATTTATTAACGGTACCAAAAATTATTTTCTTCCTGCACCACAATGGATTGTATAAATGAGTTGTTGTATTTTATAACATATATATTATATAGAAATATGAGACAGTGGGTAAATAATAGCTAAAACAACACTGGAGCACTGAAGGTCTGGCTTCACTTTGACGTAGAGTCTCACTGACATACAAGTGAATTGGGATGTGCCCTTTTGAGTATGCTGGAGACTTGCTCTCCACTAATGCAGTAGAGACTGTATGGCTCATTGCAGAGACATGATCTCCAAAAATATAGTATGTGATCTACCCCAGTTGTAAGCACATCCACCATAGAAATAAAATCTGTGTGTAATGTTCCTGCAAGGCAAATCCTATGATTTCAACTGATGATTAAACAGTAGGATTAGGTTAATAGCTTGGATGTGGTAAAGCAGTGTATCAATTTATAATGGCAGATTAACTTAATCTACCTTTGTTTTAACAATATGCTTCTCTTAACAAGGCTTGCTTTCAGAGAGTGCCTAAATGTTGGGCTTCTCTCATTCTATGACAGTAGACAGAATTTGCTTGTGGTTCATGTTGTGTCATGTTTGAGACAGACTCTCAGAAATGTTGATTCTAAGTCAGTATATTAATAGAACCTGACTGCAAGTAGTTTCTGATGTCTCATCTTTGCAGGGTGAATTTTCTCATCTGGTCTTGCTGGCAGCATTTGATTGCATTGATGACACTAAACTTGTGAAACAGTTAATTATATCTGTAAGTAATTGAATATTTCCTAAAATAGTATACTAAATAGTGTCAGTGTGTTTGTCAGTGTATAGGAGGATGAGAGTGGGAATCTGTCTGCTTTTTTCAAACCATTTAATTCCTTTCCACCTTTTCTGTTTCATTATATTTGTGTATCATGTTTTGTTTTGTTTTCTTTTTATAGAAGACCTCAGCACTTTCATATGTTCTCTTTAGTTATTTGAATTAGTTTTTAAGCTGGATTCAGTGCTTGCTGAAAATTACCCTTTTTGTACTTGTTCATTCTGGCTAATGGATGAGTGGAATCTCTTTAAGTCAATGTCTTTGTCATAGAAGTTTGAGCTTTGCTAGTATTTCAAGAGATTAAACTGGTGGAAAACTTTAGAATGAGGATGTCACCTTATCCATTTAACAGGCAAACGTAAAATGTCAAGAATATCCATGCCCAGAATGTCCTTATTGTGCAGATTTATTGTTGTAAAAAAGGTTTTTTAGCACATTTAGCTCTTTTCTTTTGCAGAAGTAGCATCTCGGAAAGTGATACTTCAAGATAAACTGTAGTAAACTTTCAGGAACATGGCAACAGGCCTGAATATAGTATACCATGACTTCAAAGAAGAAAAAGTACTTGGGGACTTTTGGTTGGATGCTGAAACCATTAACTCACATTCATTTTTAGAACTTGACATTTTTACTTAATACGTTGATAATTAAATGATAACTAACGTTCTGGATAAAATCCATGTAATATTTTTGTCTTGCTTGCAAAATGGATAGAGATAGATGTCTGAAACATAGGAGTACTCTAGCTGTTTTGCTTCACCTACGTGGAATTGCAGAATGAACAGTAAGCATAGTATGATCTAATCTGCATCTGCTTCCTTTTGGAATGCCCCATTTCCCCACTGTCCTTTTCAAAAATTATTTAATAGTGTTTCATAAAGTGTTAATACTTAAGATTATGTTTACATGCAAATTTTAGACCTTCTAAGATGTTTTACTTTGTAAATTACCATGAAGTCATGTTTTCACACTGATAAAAGAGGCTTTATAGTGCACAAGTAATTTTTATGCAAGCAGGATAATTAACATTGATGTATAGGTTGTAATGTGCTTGTAGTAGTACTCATGCCATAGCTTTTAGGACTGACGGGTTGAGAGGCAGTGGCAGGGAGGTAAAGATGAGGCAAATACTCTGCATGTGGAGGAGGAATATGAGGAGAAAGTGGTTATGATGAGGCTTGCTTTAAAATGTATGAGCAGTTCTTCCATTAAGCAAATTTGTATAGGGGGGAATTGGATTTTTGTACCCTAGCGTGGAGTTTTGGCCCTAAGCCTGTGCCTCTCTGATGGGTGTGGAGAGATGAAAGCATCCCAGTGTGGAGATGGCTTTTGTGTCTCGGGTATATTAGCAGTAATCACAGCTGGGTTTTGCTTCCAGAGTCCAGTCTGCAATGTAACAACTTCTGGGCAAGATCCAAGCAAATAAGCCCTGACAGATCAGAGCTGTCTTGGTACGAGACCATTGAGGTGTTCCTGTGCTATGTTACAAGCACTCTGCTTTCTGGAGGGTTTACTAGTTCAGATACTGTGTTTGGCTTTAGCTGAGCTTCCAAGGTATCGTTTAATTCCTGAATCACTTGTGTTTTTCCACTGTCTGAGATCAAAGATAATGGAGTGTTTACTGTTTGGTCACCTTACTGCATCAGTCTGGACAGAAGAGTAAAAGAGAATAAGGAGGAGGAGAATAAGGAGGAGTGGCCTTCACACGTACAGGATTGGCCAGTCTGGGTTTATATGAGGTCAGGAACGGGGAAAGGATGTCAGGGAAAAGGAAAGAAATATCAGATAAGGTCAAAACCAGCTCTTCAGATGGTGAATGAAAACTAGTAGCAGAGGATGAGGTGGAAGCATCTAGAAATCAACATTGAAGCATACACTATAAAAGAATCCAATCCTTAAAATTATCTTAAAGAGCAGTTAGACTTCTAAAACACCTTATGCCAATTATCTTTCTGTCCATACTAAAATATAAGGAAAATAATAAAGATGGGGGGGGAGCAGTGTTTGGGCAAATCTCT